AAGGAGTTGTCCATGACGGCTGGTGGCTGTGCGGATGAGGTGATGTTGGTGGGGAGGGCGGGCTGGAGAGAGGGAGAGTGGCCGGACGACGGGGGGTCAACGGTGTTGTGCGACAGACATGGAGGATTTAGCGACAGTGAAGCGCACTCTCTGATGAATCGTCGTGTTCGTGTGATGGATGGCGCAAGGTCTGCGGGTGGGTGGTTGGGTGTGTTGTAGAGGAGACGGGGCGATGGGGAGTGAATGAAGTCAGGGCTTGTTCTCTCGCTGCCCGGTGGCCAAGACTTTTCGGTCTTGGCGACCGCCTAGGCCTGCTGAAACGTCCCGGTCAAGCGCCAGACGTCGACAGGTTGATGCCCTACGTGCTTCCCAGCCTTGCACGTTTGTTTGATGGGGGCAGTCCACCCCTTTGTGCTTTGAAACAAAGAGAGCTACATAGGCTCGTGCACACTATACACTGATACAGGGGCGGTCACACTTTGCTTAAATAGAATGTCTGTGGTTCACGACTCGCAGTCTGTGCATCAGGTACGAGCTACTTGACTTTCATGAGAGACAACACGTTCATCCGAGATATCGCTGACTCCCTTCGGAAGCCACTTTCGTAAGCTGGCAGGTTTGCGAGGCTAATCGGCGGCTGTCCGTCGCTGACCGGAAGTATCCTGCGGAAGCAGTGGACAGTTACCCGGAATGGGTGCATGCTGCCAGCCATGAAGGGGCACCCTTTGCCAATTCTCCATTGGCCTCCAAAGTTCCACAACATGTCCACCATGTGAAGTCCCGGAAGCTTCGAGAGAAACCCCATCTGCAAGCAGCCTGATCACAGCCTGAACGATCACTTAAATACCCCGCATCCAGAGAGCTGTCCCTCACTCAGAAACCATTCCGACCCAGACATCTTCGCTAGCAACTCTCAGCCTGACCCGATAATTTACGTTAGTGCTTCATTCCGTTTCAACCTCAAAGCCTTACCATTAGCAGGAGTTACCGCTTCCAAGCAACAAACATGCGCCCTCTTACTCTCGTCTCCATCGCCGCCGCGGCCTTCATCCCGGCCGCCACCGCCGGTCCTCTCTTGTATGCTGGCTGCCAGGGAGGTTGCTCAACACTCGTGGTGGCTTGCTATACCGCCGCAGGCTTCACCTTCGGAACGGTCGCCGCCCCTGCTGCTCCGGCTGTTATCGTCGGCTGCAACACGGCCTTTGGGACTTGCCAGGCAGCTTGTGCCGCCTCACTTTTTGCTCCCACGCCGTGAGAACCAATCTCCTGCGGATGCCGGGCTGCAATTGTAAGGCTCGTTGGATAATGAGTGACTGACATCAGGCTGAAGGATGTAGTATTGCCCTCAGGTGAGACGCTAGGTGAATGGATATCGGACGTCTCGGTTGGAAGGATAGTTGATATCAAGCTTAAAGTCTTGGCAATTGCCCTTGGTATCTGATGGAGAGCTGGAGCTTTGGGTGTATGATTTGCCAGTGACTAGAACTAGCGGTTTCTAGCGTCGAATCAAATCCCGTTTTTGATATCCTGACGGGACATGAATCTGCCCCGATATTGAAGGAACTATCCGATTTCTGCACCGAACATTAGCATTCTTTCTATCTTTTAGGATTCGTCGTACTTGATAGGAAAGGTTGATAGCGGGTAGCCACTTGCGGCAATATATTGGCCAATACTGTTCAGCAACCCAGATACACATCCATCGCCCTCCAGACCTCGATAGGCGACGCGCGCTGCCGGACGTGACAGTTTCTGCTGTCCTTCAGAAAAAACTTGATTACCTGGACAAGGTGGCTAAGATCTCTAAGGATGCCACAGCTTTTGCCATCGTGTGAAAGGCCCCGAACGTACTTCTGCTTCCGCTCTGCCCAAGAATCTCCTGGACACGGCAGATATTCGTCTAAGGCAGCCCCTAGCAGAGTGACTAAGCTTTGGTATGAAACCTCTCACTGCTTCTATTGGCTCTTTGGCATAACCATGGCATCCCCTCAGGACCTCATTGGTACTAACCATCTGCAGGGTGGGGGGCGGAGTGAAACGACTTTCCAGACGCCCTGGAGCCTTATCAACCTGAGTTCCCAGAAAATCTTCGACCCAAACCCCGCAGCTGAGCCTCAAAAACCCCCGACGCAAAGCTCCCCAGTTTCATATCAGACATCTCGCCGTTACGCTTCACTCATCGCAATGCCCATACCAGAAAGTGTTTCAACTCAGATTTCCGACGTCTCTTCCGAGTGTTTGAGCACCCTAGGAGAGATTCCCTGTGGCAAGGAACTCCAAGGGCAACGTCTATCCGACTTCTTAACCGACCTCAAACATCAGCAAGCGGAGGCCGCCGATCAGGCTTCTTACCCCGAGGCGATTAACTGGCTCACTCGAACCGTAGGATTCGGTAACGAACTCTATACTAGTACTGAGGCTGTACACAAACGCTGTTCATGTATGCCCCAGGAGTGGGACGCGTTAAAATGGGCCAATAATGACTATATATGGTATCTTCTCTTTGACAGACCTTCACACCAACAATATGTCCCCCCGAAGCCCTAGCGAGGGGCACCAACAATCATCAGCAGGGAGGGGGGGTGCAATCACGTTTTCAGGCGTCCTAGGGCCTTGTCAACCCGAGTTCCCAGCAACAAGCCTTCGACCAAAACCCCGCAGCTGAGCCTCGAGAACCTCCGACGCAAACCCTTCACTTTCATCTCAGGTATTTCGCCGCTGCGCTTCACTCATCGCCATCGCCATGCCATCTGGAGAACTTGCCAAAGAGTTTCATGAAGTCTTCATCTGGTGTAGGGGCATCCTAAGGGAAAGATAGACACCCTGTCAGAAGCTACTACACCAAGGACAGCGACTATCCGACTTTAAACTGGAGGTCGAGGAAATGCTTCCATTGCTGTCCGACTTCCTAACTGATCTCAAAGATCGACAAGGAGCTCAGGTATCATATACTGAGGAGATTGAGCAGCTCACGAAATCCGTAAGATTTTGCAAGGAACTGCATACTCATACTATGGGTATACTCGAACGCCGCTCCTCTACGTCCGAAGAGTGGCTCGCGTTCAGCACGGCATATGAGAGGCTCTTGTGGTATATTGAAATAACCTCGCTCTGGAGCTCCTTCATGGCTCGAATACCAACCAAAAGCCTACACGATAAAGGCTCTCCTCCCCAGAAGCTTTAGCGACGAGCACCAACCCGTCCCACCATCCGACCGTGTGGAGCAGTATGTCAGATGTCGCTTCCTAGCAGAGGTAAGTAGCAAGCGACCCCTTCGTAAATGTTTGGAGGTATCTTTGGACCCCGCTAACATTTGAGCTGAGTTCTTTGCTGCGGAGGCAGAGTTTGGCGTGAGAGTTGGCAAGCTGGACGAAGCTGGACGAAACACTTTCCCAAGCGGGCATCGAAGCGAGCGCTTTCGTCATATCATTAGGGATGGCGAGGGTCCTACAGAGAAGACAAGAAGAGTAGCTTTCTGAACGATGGTTTTCAATAGTCTCCGGTCTTGATTTGGAATGTACCGCGAAGTTGTGTAGTCAGAAGCGTGGGGCAATGTAGCTGTCGAAAACATCTTGATGCCTTGGCGCCTAGTCTTCTGCCTTGCTGAGCGAAACGCGACATCACCGTGATCACGTCCCCATCTCTCAAACTCCACCAACCCAGTCAACCATACCCACACCATGGTCTTCGACGACATCTCCGACGCCGACGCCCTCGCCGCCCTCGAAGCCGCCGAACACGCCACCTCCCGTCCCCAGCCCTTACCCCGCACACCCAGCACAAACCCCCCCCCCACCAACACAACCACTGCACCCACCCGCGCCGTCCAACAACCACGCCCCCAAGCCCTCCCCGTCCCCACCGGCCCGAACACAATCCTCGTCTCCCCCCGCCAAAAAGAAAACCCAATCCTCAAAGAAATCCGATCCACGCCCTGGGAATGGGCCGACATCCCCGCCGACTACGTGCTGGGGACAACAACCTGCGCCCTTTTCCTCAGCCTCAAGTACCACCGCCTGAAGCCGGAGTATATCTACGCACGCATCCGCGGCCTCGCCGGTAAATACGCCCTCCGCGTCCTACTCGTCGTAGTCGACATCCCAAACCATGAAGAATCCCTCCGCGAACTCAGCAAAGCAAGCCTGATCAACAACGTCACCCTAATCCTCTGCTGGTCCGCCGCCGAAGCCGCGCGCTACCTCGAGCTGTACAAGATGTACCAGAACACCACCCCCACCGCCATCCGCGCGCCGCAGAGCCGCACCTACGCGGAGCAAATGACCGAGTTCGTGACTACGCCGCGCAGCGTTAATAAGACGGATGCCCTCGCATTAGTAACCAACTTCGGCAGCGTGCGCACGGCGGTTAATGCCAAGCCGGAGGAGATCCGCATCTTGCCCGGCTGGGGCCAGACGAAGGTCAAGCACTGGTGCAGTGCAGTGAGGGACCCGTTCCGCGCGAAGACGGCGAGGCGGAGGACGGCGCTGACGCAGGCTGCTGCTGCGGGGCCGAGTCAGAGCGGCGGTGTCGGGGGGCGCGTGGGCGAGCCGATCGCCGCACGCGCGGAATTCCAACCGCCTAGATCGGTTGCCGACGGGATTCCCGATGCGAACCGTCGGCCCGTGGTGAGACCGGCTGCCGCCTTCGACCCGCGAGAGCCGGACGAAGACGAGGAAGCGGTTATGCGGGAGATGGAAATGGAAGCTGCGGCGCAGACTGCGGCGAAGCCCCCGGGTCCCAGCGCTGCGAACCCTAAAAAGAGGCCAGCTGAGCCGGAAGTGGGTGAAGGAGTATTAGCAGCTTTGGAGAGGCTACGACAGAATGGGTGAACGTGTGTATGTAAAGCAAGTTAAGGCCCCTGGCTCGTAGTTTGCGGATGACCTCCCACCCTCCCATGCTTGCCAACCAGACAAAAGCAACACGTTCCCCTTTCGCGAATCTCTCGAGGCAGAGAGCCCCGCATCTGACTAACAATGCAAAAAGAATCGCAAAAGAACATTTGCGCCCGCCGGGATTCGAACCCGGGTCAACTGCTGACATCCATGAGGAATGGAAGGCAGTTATCCTAACCACTAGACTACAGGCGCTATTTGATGCTGAAATCAAATATTTTTAAAAGAAAACCAGCGATGTAAACGGGAACAAAAGATGATCTCGTTGGCTTGAGCAAGCCAAATCTGTGGTGCGCTCGCCATGCAAAGTATGCAGGGCGTGTTTCTGCTGTAGGGCAGGGCCTTGGGATAGTAATTACCATTAGGTTGTAGCCTTCTAACCAGGGGATATCATTCATACAAGTCGTCATGCCCCTCCCCATTCCCACCTCTATCATCCCCCCCCCATCCCCCCCCCCCCATCCTTCTCATCCTCCTCCATAATCATCGCAATCGGATCCCTCGACGCCATCGACTTCACCCTCCCATCCAGCGGACTCCTCGGCTCCTCCGTCCCCAGCTTCGGCTGCGTACTCCCCGATGGATCCGACCTCCGCGCCCTCCCCAGCTCGCTAAACGGCTCAAACGCCCACTCCAGAAACGAGCTCAGAACAGGCCGCAGCGTAGGCACACACGCGCATATCTACCCACATTAGACACACACCAACTGCCGGGACAGGGGGACTTACAATGCCCAAGCTCCCTTCCAGCGCCGACGCACTATACGCGCGGTACAGCACCCACGTGCGATCCGTCGACACAAAGTACATCTGGTAATTGTTGTATATGCGCACCGACCCCGCGGCCGGAACTACGATGCCGAGCCCGATGAGCGCGAGGAGGCCGCGGCGCTGGCGGGTGCGCATGGTGAGCCGCATCAGGAGGGGGACCGGCAGCGCGATGAGCATGAAGTCGATGAGCGTTTTGATGATACCGCCGGAGACGGTGATTTGGCCTTTGCGCAGGCAGCGGGCGTCTTCGACGGGGGGGAAGGCCCACATGGCTTTTATGGGCCTGGGGGGGAGAGGAGTTAGTGGGACTATTTGAAAGGGTAATGAGTGGGGGGGGGGCGCACATGCAGAGCCGGATTGCGAGCGAGAGGAAGACGATGAAGAGGCTCATGATGGCGGCGACGGAGAGGTGCAGCAGGTTGCGGAACCATTCTATGTCGCTGTCGAGCACAACGCGGTAGTAGAAGCAGAGCCATGACACGTGGGTTGCGTTGGCGGCGCTGACGAAGAGTATGTTGTGTAGGAAGACGATCTTGCCGGTGCCTAGTGGCCGTTAGAGTTTGAGATGTTATCGTCGGGCTGACGTTACCGGCTGCTAGATCGGGCTGCAGATCCCACATGTGTCTGTCGAAGCCGAATTTGAGGGTTGCGGTGCAGAAGAGAGCCACGACGCTGAGGGCGAAGATCTGCGGCTGTGAGCGCGTGCGGAATACCCAACCTGGCCAACGTACCAGAGCGAAGATGATGAAGACGTCGTCAGCGCCAAACCACCTGGTGATAAACAGGCGAGTATATATCCGCATAGCAGCAGTGATCAAAGCAAGCGACGCAGCAACCAAGTTCACCGCCAACATCGTATTCCCCCTCCTCTCCGGACTCTCATAATTCGGCTCCGGCCAGCCCGCCGTATCGAAATCAGGAAACTGAGCCATAATCTGCGATCTTGGAGAATCGTCGTCTCCTCCCTCCGCGCTTACGGGTCATGAAGTCGCAGTCGCCAGATCTCGAGACGCACAACCTCCTTATTACGGTGGGGAAATCGGACCAACAGACTAATCCGCGCCGGGCATCGAGCATTTTTATGCCCACGGCGCCGGACCAAATGGCGGAGAATTAGAAAAGCAATGCGGCGTCCTGGGCGCGGCTTAAGTGGCCTGCCAAAACCGCCACAAGTGCCCCTCCGAAGTAATCCACGGGAGGGGCATCATGCTAGCCGCAGCCGTTTACAAGTAGTAGAGAGCATAAGCGAGTGGCCCGGCGGGTGTGTTGCGGTACGTTAGCCGCATGAGGAGCTGCATAAAAGGGCGTGATATTGCTTCAGGCACGGCAGTGTGCTCCTGCAGTAAGCAGTTTGCAGTGTATCCAGGCAGCGACCGACACTTTAATGCGGGGTGAAGGCAGCGGCATCCGCATATCGGGTTAAGGTTCTTGAGGAAAGGCTTGCCGACGCCCCCTCGCTTGCAGACGAATCCGCATCGGGTATGACTCGGCCCAGCACCCCACGAGCGGGCGGACTCGGCTGTCAGCCTCTCATTTTCCGCCGGGCCTGGTAAGCGTGAAAAGCGCGTCAACGCAGTCGAGTCAGGCCACTTTTCCATGATGCAAGCGAGATCTGTCAGAAATGAGATCCGAGCGGCCCACGCTACGGCTTACCGGGTTCGTTTCGTCAAGTGCTGCGGCTAAAAAGTGGGGTTCAAACCGCGCGGAAGAGACTTTATGAATAGCAAAATTCGCACAACTGCAATGTGAGCCAGCCACCGTCGTCTCCGAAACCAATGACGGCTGCGGACAAGGCTGGCCTCATATGCCGGCATGATTCGGCTCCGAACGCAAAAAGCCAAAAGCGCGGATGCGAATCCATCCCGAACCCGGTGGCGTTGCATGGCTTTTAACGGAGCCTGTCAGTTGTTTCCCACGCGACTTTCGTGATATGCAGGGCGTTTACGAGTCATCCGGAGGGATATGTATGACAATTCGATGACTAGCATTAGTGATCTCGATGCGGCCGACCCGCTTCTATTCGGAGAGTAGAGACTCAGGCATCGCTAACTACTGTACATTCAACAATGCCAACCAGACAGGAGTCTACCGTATGCTCCAGCGCCGTCTATGCACATTTTCATAACGTAAAAGAGCAGAGATCGTGCATGCCCATCATAACCACCAGATCATTCCCGCCGCACTTCCAGCCCCGTTTTATCCTCGTTCAACATCACCACAGCCTTGTCTCCCGCCTTGACATGGCCTCGGATGATCTGGTCAGCCAGTCCATTGCCAATCTCCTTCGCAATAAGCCGGTTCAGTGGCCGCGCGCCGAAGCGAGGGTCATAACCTCGATCGCAAAGCCAGCCCTTGATCTCATCGCTCACAGCGAGCGTGATGCGGCGGTCGTCCAGCTTCGCCTGCAGCTCCCGGAGTCGAATGTCCACAATGTCCCGGAGCGCATCCTTGGATAAGCGGTTGAAGAGGATGAACTCGTCGATGCGGTTCAGGAACTCGGGGGGATAGCTGTGGTTGACGATATCCATCACCGCCCTCTTGACCGGCTCCGAGATCTTGGAAGCGTCTTTGTCCGGCTTCGCAAACTGCAGAGGGTCTTCCCCGAGGATGACATCGGCGCCCAAATTAGACGTCAGCACGATGATGGTGTTCCGGAAGTCGACCTTATGGCCTTGGGCGTCGGTGAGGAAGCCTTCGTCAAGGACCTGGAGAAGGAGAGCAGATATGTCACGGTGGCCCTGGAAGACGTCAGATACGTTCAGTCAAGTCAATGCCTTGCTTACCTTTTCAAACTCATCAAACAGCAACACAGCGTAGGGCTTCCGACGGACGGCCTCCGTGAGCTGGCCCGCATCCTCATACCCAACGTAGCCGGCCGGGCTGCCGATGAGTCTGCTGACCGTGTGCTTCTCCTGGAACTCGCTCATATCGAACCGGATAACGGCAGTTTCGGTCGAGAATAGGAAGCCAGCCATCTTCTTGCACAGCTCCGTCTTGCCGACGCCGGTCGGACCAAGGAACATGAAGCTCGCGAGCGGACGGTTTTCTCCGCTGAGGCCGGCACGTTGCAGGCGCACGGCGTTGGCGACGGCCGTCAAAGCCTCATCTTGGCCCCTGACGGACTTGCGAAGCGTGTCCTCCATGTGGATGAGCTTCTCCACCTCCCCAGCCATGAGCTTGGTTACCGGGATGCCTGTGGTCTTGCTGACGACATGGGCGATGTCGTCGGCAGTGACGGAATCGTGAAGCAGGGAAGTGTCGGTGTTTTCGTTGTCCTCGGGAAGTTGCTGCCGGAGGCTCGGAATCGTGGCATATCGCAGCTCGCTGGCCTTTGCGAAGTTGCCCTCGCGTTGCGCCTGCTCGAGGTCCAGTCGAGCCTTTTCGATCTGCTCCTTCAAGCTCTTGATCTTGTCAATTTCGGCACGTTCCTTTTCCCACTTCTCCATCAAACTCTTCACCTCCTCTTGCTTGACCTTGAGCGTCTCCTCAAGCTTTTCGCGACGCTCCTTGCTTACGACGTCTGTCTCCTTGCGCAACGACTCGAGCTCAATCTGGATAGTCATGATTTGGCGGTCCAGTTCTTGTATCGCATCCGGCTTGCTTTCCTGCTGCAGCCGAAGAGCGCTCGCGGCTTCATCCACAAGGTCAATAGCCTTGTCTGGGAGGAAGCGGTCACTGATGTAGCGGTTACTATACGTAGCAGCGGCCACCAAGGCACTGTCGGTGATGCGAACGCCATGATGAACTTCATAGCGTTCCTTGATGCCGCGAAGAATGGAAATCGTGTCTTGCACACTCGGCTCGTCCACGATTATAGGCTGAAATCTTCGAGCCAGTGCTACATCCTTCTCAATCTGCCGGTACTCGGTCAATGTCGTAGCGCCGCAGCATTGGAGCTCACCCCGCGCAAGGGCGGGTTTAAGGAGGTTGCTTGCATCAATGCTGCCCTCTGCCTTGCCCAAGCCCAGAAGCGTGTGAAGTTCGTCCACGAACAGTATCACCCCGCCCTTAGCTTCCTCCACCTCTTTCAAGACCTTCTTAAGCCGCTCTTCAAAATCTCCCCGGTATTTGGCCCCAGCAATCAGCGACCCCAGATCTAACGAGATGACGCGCTTGTCCTTAACCGACTCCGGCACATCACCCTGGACTATCCGCTGTGCCAGCCCCTCCAATATCGCCGTCTTGCCCGTACCCGCGGACCCAATCAACACGGGGTTATTCTTCGTCCTGCGCGATAGGATTTGAATCGTGCGCTGGATTTCCGAGTCTCGTCCAATGACCGGATCCAGTTTGCCGTCTCTTGCTCGAGCTGTAAGGTCGACTCCGTATTCTTCGAGAGCAGGCTTCTCCGGCTCGCCGCCGAGGTTCATACGGTGGGTTCCGCCGGGTGGTTGCGGACGGCCATTTGCGTAGTACCGGACGGCA